TGCAGTAATCTCAATCAATAATTTAAAAGTCAAGGAAATCGCCAGGAAGACACAATGAGACATGAGAACTTCATTATCGATAAAATAGCGATTTCAATCAATCTGAATTTCCCCGTTTTAAATCTTTAACACACACGTAATAAAAAAAGCGGATTTATCGATCCTCGCCTTGCTTTATCTCGCCGACTTGTTTCTCCCCCCCGAAGCGAACACGTCGCACGGCCCTCGGGCCCAGGTCCCCTGTTCTCCGCGAGAGATTTATGCCACTGACATTGAAACTAAATTACGCTATAAATTAACTTTAAATTCGATGCACCCCAACTTACTCATCCCCAAGGCCTCATTCACTCAAACTTGGGCCCGTTCGTAATTATTGATAGAGAACGCTTGCATTCGAGATTTCGTACTCGTTGCATCTTGAGAGATAATGCTAAGTACACGGAATGATTCACACTGCTATCTACTCGGTCGAGTGTCGCTATGCGAATGATAACGCGGCGACCTTGCTATGCAACAGCGTGCCATATGCCCTATATTCAAAAGCAAACGTGCGCCAAGCGCGGCACACAAACCGATTAGCTTCGAAAAATATTTAACGTTTAATAAATGTACACATACTGAAATATTTTGATCTGTATGCTTCAAATATATCTTAACGAATATGGACTATTTGAGATATTAAATCTACAGTTTATTTAAAGAATAAAATGAATTTTAATCTTATTTAAAAATTTATGTAAATTAAGTTATTCTTACTTTTTTTAATATAGATTACGAAATAAAGATAAATTTTATTCTTCAAATTTAGAGATTTAATATTAGATTTAATCTTTTTTGTATAGATAATTAATTTGTTTTTATTCACATTTTAAACAAAAAATTAAATTCATAATCTTATTTTCTATTAATAATCAATTGTTTAATATCAATTATTTGCTACTCTGTACGTGACATACGTGGTTCAGTGTAACAAAATATTAGTTTGTAATTAAGTTATATCATGTTTAATAAATGAATTTTCAAAATTTATTCAGTCAATTTACCGTATACTGCAGGAAAATATTTCGTACTAAAGGGAGTTACTTTGATATCAAATTTGCGTTAAGCGATGCTATTGAGTGAGCCAGTATCATAAATCAGATCCCAGAGGGAGCTAATAATAGCTGAATTTACGGAATCACAAACACCGTGCGAAACTGCAAACGCAATCAATCCGCGCTTGGAAAATTTGTCATTCTCATGTACCAGTTTGACCGCTTCAATTAAGGATAATCGAGATAAACGAGCGACGCGAGTTTATATGGGTCGCGCGTGCTTTATCACGTAAAAAACGTTCCATTAATTGCTGATACCGTTGAATCGCCAATTATATTTACATGTCGATCTAAATATTTCGATTTTCATGATATTTCGCGGATACTCACGAAATTATTAAATTAAGCAAATATCTAAATATCTTTTATTTTATCTCCCTTTCTTTTACTGCTTACAAAAATTATTATTTTATAATTATTAAATTAACAATTATGTTCTCTTGATGTTCTTTCATACCTAAATGATGCAGAATAAATCAAAATCAAATTTGCAATGCAATGCGCTTTCCGAGATCTCGTTGTACAAAGAATTGATTTGTTACGATTTTAACGGCCGATTTTAATAGCGTTTTTAATGAGCCATCCCGACGCACTCGTCGGACCGTACCGAAATTTATGATCCCTCGTTTTACCGTAAGATCGTTATCGGTATAACTTCATCCGTCGTCGCAGTCGATCCTGGATGCGTCGCGTGTTGGTCTATGCCGGGTCCCTTTGACAGATCCGCATCCCGTTATACGGAGCGCCGAAGTCCCAACGTAATTTATGACTGCTGCGTGCAACGTAAAGTGTGTTACTGTATATACATACTGTGCACACATACGTATCATTAAACCAGAGGAAACAACTGCAAACAGTTCGGAGACGATCGCGTTATTGAAAATGTCGTATAATTGAAAGCCGCAATCGATTCTCCTTCCTTAAAATTGCAGTCGGTTTCCTCATGCTTAATATCGTATAGAATAACGATGGTATGTGGGATACGGTGGAATGTTCGGAAGGAATCCTTGTCGGGGATCGATAATAAGATGCTTTATTAATAAAACAGAAGAATCAACAGAACGCGTGCGTGACCGTCAGGTACAATTTATCGTACGTAAACTTAATGCACGCCGTGCCTGCGTGCGAACGTAACGCCGAATGCGTAAGAGTGATCGCGGGCGCGCTCACATCGCCAAATATACATATAATTTATTTTTATATAAATAAATACACCGTATACGTGTAATGTATACATATATATATTATATGCATATACCTATATATCATGTGTATGTGCGTGGGTATATATATTGCATGTGAGTGCGCGTAACTTCGACTACGCCTAAGTACGATCGCTAGGAGCAAGAGGGTCGTGATATAGTTTGTGAGCTGTTAGTACGTACGCGATATGTTTGGTAACTGGTAGGGTGTAAGACTAGTGTTAATGTAAGTTTCACATCGTAGCGCCTAAAGGTTGTAGGGTGTTTTACGAAACGTTTACGGAAACCTCGAATCGAAGGCCGATTGGAATCCCTTCCCCGAGTCCGTAGACACGCGGAAAAACGGGGAAGAAGTCGTCGCCAGTTCTCGTTTCACCCCTCCGTTCCTGATGTTTTTATGCTTCGCGTAATTCATTGTTCGACGGGGAATTTGTCCGGCAGGGGGAGGAGAGCACCGATGAATAGACATTTTAACGGCGCAAGAGAGGGCGATGATATCTATGTGCGAACGAGATATATATCGGAAATTCGAGAATCGAGAAATTTTGCTGCCGATGATTCGCAGTTGAATCTACGACAAATAGATTCCATTGGGCGACGGTGTTTGTACGGTAAACCAATAGATCGAGCAGTGAATAAACGGAATTGAGGGCGAAAAATTCTGACGCAAGTATCAAGCGTCAATTTAAAATAAATGCGTGTGAGAGAGAGACGGGCTGCATGTGTTGGAGATTGATTACGACTTTCCACCTTCGATTTCTGTATCTAGCGCAATAAATATGATACTAAAGAGAAACCTATTCTTAACATCCACGAATCTATAAATTACATCGACGTCATACACGTACAAGATGTCTTGGAAGCTGCGAGCTTTCTCTCGCGAGAAGATAAAGTATCTGCTCCAATATCAAGACCTTAATTGATTCAACGAAAGATTTTACGTAATTAACTGTTGGCGATGTTTATTTTACTGTGTTATCAAATTTTATTTAAAGATAAATTTCTTAGAACTGCGACGAATCGTGTCGAAAAACGTTATAAAATTACTAATAAAAGGAACGTCAATCTTATCCAAGAAACCCATTGCTTCTGAGACATCCTTTTGTTCAACTATGTTGTACGGTAAATAATATTATCGTGTAGCACGACCGTAAGCTTCACGTTTGCGGCGCAATTAAATCGCGCAGACCGGTCCAGAAGTCGATCTGAAATGCGGCTTTACGCCCTCATTGATAGCTATGCAAGGCAGCGTTCCGCGAATGATATCGCACCGCGATAATCGTAAAACGAGTTCGTTCGATATTTAGATTGCGGAAGAAAGCGCCGTACGCGCGAATCAAGTGACGCCATAAAATAGCGAGTGGAACGCGAATTCCAATTCGTACACTTGCTGCATTCGCGATTGCGATAACTGTCGTTGAGGACGCAAGCGGGTCGAATGCGCGATCGGAATCGTTGAACGATCGTTTATTCCGCATAGACGTGTAACACGTGTAAACACGTAATTTTATATATATATATTAATATTACATATATAAAATTACGCTTTTATATATTTATACATATATGTAATGTATTTATGTATACTGGCACATATGAAATTGGCGCGCTTTTCTCATCGTGGATGAAAGCGTGGCAGGACATGAAGAGAACTGCCTGGTTGAGCCTCTGTTATCTGGTGACAGCAAGAGTTTGTTATCACCGCGAGTGACAATCGTCGATCTCGAGCAAACGCAATGAAAACGATTGTTGTAGCGACGATCATGGAGATGCAAAATTGATATTTCCACGCATGTGGAAACTACGAAAAACTAAGAAAATGGCTACGAATTCACGTCTAACGTAGCGTGATTTTGTGAGAAATTTTGAGAACGGTATTTTTTTCTTCTTGACAAAAATCAAATGCAGATTATTTGAAAATTTTCGGTACGTGGAATATACGCATGAATTCGCGATTGTTATGTATAATGCACACGATGATAAATCATTGATGCGAAAGTGAAAAAGAAGACATTATTAATTGCGTCGCTTCGGATTTCAATTTGAGATTAAGTATAATCTCAAATGCTAATCGAATTACAGTTGTAATGCTCGTTGCAACGCAATATTTTATACACCTTCACAACGCGCGCGTGAAATAAAATAAAATAAAGGGAATAACCTATATATATATATATACTTATATATTAAGCGAAATAAATAATAAATTAAATAAATTAAATCTGAAAGTTAAATTATTCATGATCATGACGTATGCATTGAAATATAACAATTATAATAATTACATGTAATGGACGTGACCAAGCATCGAATTATTTCGATGATTTAAATAAATAATCAATATGATAAACATAAATTTTCTCGTATGCGTCCGCTTACCGTAAACTTGTCTCCATGTACCATAACTCAATCGTTATCTGCAAATCTATAAATACATAAATTCGTTCAGATTGTCCAGTATTAAAGAATATATAGAGGCACTCAATATCACGGAACGACAAATAAATAAAATAAATAACGTAAATTCTCGACACCTCGTTTGTCAATGTATTGTAGTCATACATATCTCCCAGGCTCTTATACTGAAAAAGGATGCTGCGAGGGTCAGCCATGAAACCTCTCGAGTTCCCGTCTCATGCGCGTCTGACGACATTCGGCCATCAATTTTCACCCAACGACTTTACGGCATGAACCGCGCGTAAGCAACGAATAAATCGACCTCGTTTCCTACGAAAATTTCATCTCTACTGAGAATGGCGGTTGCCCTTCCGCCAACGCGCAACGAGGACTCCCACGGATGTCCTTAGCTGCCAACATCCGCCTTGCTCCTCCTATAGGAAAGCTGTCGCAAATCTAGCGGATCTTTAATTGATCTCAATGCTTGTAACCGAGTTGGACGTGCGACGCTCGTCATCCGCCACCGTCGATGATGACACGGTGAAGTCATTCAAGCCGCTCTCGATCAGACTTATGAGATTCTCTTGGGGCGAGGATACGTGCTTCTCGGCGCGCGCCTTCTCTTCCAGCTTCCTCTTCTCGGCGGTTAGATCGACGGCGTTCTTCGTGTGTATTCGAATCAGCTGTTCCAACTTGGATAGCTGCCGTTCGGTCGCGCTCTCCACGATCTCATTGTTCTCCACGGGCATACCGTGCTTGCTCACCGTGGGTTTATAAGTTTTTACCTTAGAGTGACCCTGAATGATGAGGTACATCGGGCCGCGGATCGGTTTAGCTGGTTGCTTGTAATGGGAGAAAATCGGGTCGGTGGTGAGACTCGGAGCGGTCGTGGTTCGCGGTGGGCTCGTTGACGACGGCGCGAGCATTATCTTCATCTTCGGGGTCTCTTCGGCATTGAGGATCTTCACCAGAGGCGACTGACTGGACTTTGTGCTCTCGCGATGATCCATGGTGTCCATGGTGGGCGTGTACTCCATGGTCGACGAGACGGTCGGTGTGAACGACGGCGAAGTGGTCACGGTTGTCGCGGGTAATCGAGACGGTCGATGGTCGATCGGTTGCTCCTCGGATTCAGGAATCTGCGTGTTGAAAGTCGACGGTGACGGCGGGCTGGTGAATGTTACGGGGAACGGTTGAGGCAGTCGTTGTTGTGCCTGTTCCATGCTCGACAGCGGTACCATCATGTTGCTCATGGACGGCGCGTGCATGTGCGACAGAGGTGGCGACATGTGAGACATCGACACCGGCGAGGATGGTCGAAAGCCGGGACGCATGCTGCCGATGAAATGCATCATGGTGTTCGGTCTGGTCTGAGGACGCATCATGGACTGGGAGGCCGCCTGCGGAGGGACGTACATTTGCGAGGCGCTATCAATATGTCTGAGGGGCATTATCGGAGCGGATGGCGGATGCAGAGGCTGATGCTGCGAGGGCGGTATCATCCTGTTCGGCACGGAGGAAACGGACGGATGATTCTCCGACAGAATCGGCGAGCTCGTTATCGCGTTTCTTACGGGCTGCGATTGAGACTTCGATGCTTGATGAGTCGTCTTTGTCATCTCGGACGTGGTGGGGTTTTCCCAAGCGGCATTGTGCGTCATCGTCGTCGGCGAATCCGAGGAGCTCGCCGAGAAATTCTTCTCAACGTAATTCGTCGGAATTACCACGGCGACCGGACCTTTCTTTGCCTTATGTGTCTCCAGATCCATGATGCTGGACGGCGAATTGGCTACAACGATATGCATTTTTTGCGAGGGCTGCGCATCGGTCGCAGTTTCTTCCTCCTGTTCGATGGAATCCGTAGTTGTGGTAGAAGCGGTAGAAGTTTGAGCGACACTCTCCGTCGTCGATGACGTCGCCTCGGTGCTGATCTCCTTCTGACCCACAATCACTTCCTCGTTTTCGTTTTTGCTGGCGTCCACAATGATGTTCGCGTTCTGGCTGACGACGACCTCGTGATTGGACGAGGCCGCGGCGTGATGATCGACCTCGTAATGATCTCTGGAGTAATCCGGAGTCTGCCATGTGACCTGGTTGACATCCTGCGGAAATACCGTGGAAGACGAAGTGGGCCCGTTGTTGCCGAGCCATCCGCCAGACAGAGTCTGCGTCGACTGATATATTAGATTTGACTTTTCAAAGGACACGGACGGCGCGGTAGTCGCTTCGTATCTCGACTTCGTGCTCTGCGACGCGGACGGTACATAGACGCTCTTAATAGTCTCGACCTTGCTCGGTGGTGCCTTCGAGGTGGAGTACGGTCTTGACGAAGACACGGGAGAATAGCGTCCGTAATCTTTCGAGGGCGCTCCGTAATACTGCAGAGCATCCTGAAGGATGGGGCCTTCCTCCGTCTGCGTACTGAACGGTGATGACGTGTCCGGGTAACCGATTAACTTGTCCTTGGATGTGCCGACGTTGAAATTGGTGGACGTCTCGGCTTTCTGAATCATCGGCGGCGGCATCATCATAGTGTACGGCTTTATCTTCGGGCTGAAAAGCTGGCTCGGAAAGTAACTGGCCGGCAACGACTGCAACCTGTTCTGATTTCTGTAGTCGATCAAACCGTTCCGGAAGCTGGTGGTGCGCACGATCTTAGGCGGCTCAGCGCCAGTGCTGCCGGTGAAGTCGTTCCTGTATAAGGCAATCGAATCCTGTCCGCCACCGGTCCGCGTGAATTTGGGACCATCAACGAACTTGAGGAACTGCTCGGGTATCTTCGGGCTGGTCTTCTTCGCGGTCACACCCAACACAAGGATGTCGCGCTTTGATGACGGCTCCGTCGTGTGCTGCTGCGTGTCCAGCCAGTATTGCACCCTGTCGAGAACCGGCGGCACGTAGTCGAAGGTCGGATTGTTCTTCAAAGGGTCGCCGCGTCCCAACGGCGTCCACTCGTCGTAGTCCATCCTGGGAGAGAATATCCGCGGCCGGCTGTCATTCTGGCCGCCTGCGAACAGAAATTTCGAGGGTCGTCGTGACCGATTAAAGCCGGCGGGGTTCATTGCGGGTCAATGGCGGAAATCCTTCGCGTCACGGTGACGCGCGAGAGGCCACGGGAGAGGAGACCGACCGATAGAGAGAGAGTAGCCAATTATACTTGGATCGGCGCGCATAAACGAGAACTTGATATCTTGAGTAATGAGCCCCGTCGCCGTGATTAATTGTTCTTAATTTTATTATAGCCCTCTCTCGCGCTGCGCGCCGCGCTCTCTCGCGCGGCACTCTCGCCCGATTGATTTATCCTACCGGCACTACGAACGTCACAATCCTCTAGGCTGCATAAATTTATGGGACACTAAGTGCACACACGAGCGAGAGAACGACCGCGGCCGGCTCGATGAGATACGATAAACGCGCGCGCGGATAGCCGTGTCGTATAAATTTATACGTTTCTAGAATACCCGATGCCGTCGCAACAGCCAGCGAGCGTCGTCTATGCCGTCTGCACTTTCGTTTAACATCATCGTCAAGCTAGATGATACGTGGCGCGGACCATTCGACGTCTCGATATTACCCCTCGTCACGTGGCGACATAGTCGCGAGGGAATTCACAATAAAATTTGAAGACGGCAACTTTAATCTGTGTTATCTCAAATTGCCTGTTCCTTGCAAACGTTCAGCGTTAAATTGTCGAAGGTTATATAGACCGGTAATGTGTGTCACGCAGAAATATATTGCGAGGTATCCTAAGTAACTATTCGATGAATTACACAAATAAATAATTACACAGATAAAATCACAGTATTAGACTTGACTATTATTATTATAGCCGAGAGATGATATTACGGGAATACTTTTACGTGCTTCGTTCTTATACCTATATACGCGAAGAGAGAGAATTAAGAGCGCTCTTGAATAAACGTCCCACCCAATACGGTAAAAATCTTCCGCCTGACAGACAATGCCACTTTTGTTTCCCGAGAGCGCGTTGCGAACGAACGCGTAAGCCACCCAGGATGATAACGTTAAGTAGTCCATCCCCCCGTACACATCCGCTTTCCTGTACGTCACGGAGCAGGAGGATCCTGTTACGAAGTTGCAATTCACGTCGCGTCGTATCTGGGGTTCCAGCGACATAGCGGGCACACGGACCCATCCCCGCGAAGAACGATGAAGGCCCCGTCTTCGCGGAGTAAAGAAAGAGAAGTCTCTTAATGAAGTCTCGCCGAGAGGAGGAGGAGCGGGCTCTTTTCAACGTCGAAGGGTGACGTATGGGGCGCCTTCGCTTCGCATGCCCGAGTGTTGACGGACACGCGCGTTTAAGCGAGGCCAGATATCGGTCTCGGCCGCGGTCCGGCATGCAGTGCCTATAACGATCGGTTATCAACGAGCGTTGATTGCTATCCTCAGCGACCGTTCGTCAAGCGCGGCAACGATCTGCCTCCCTTCGCGATTTATGAGAATAGCACTGGCAATTAGGACGGATAATTCCAGGGAAGGCCCGGAAGGCAGGCAACCTTCGCGGAAAGTTTCCCGGGACGCCTGCCAGCGATTAATTTTGTAAAGTTTTCCAAAGGCTCGGAAGAGAGACATGCGATCGTCCCCCGCCAGCACGTACCAACGTAAAGCGGTTAGCATTCACAAGTGGGCCGAGCTGTAAAAAGAATAATGACAAGGTTTTCATTTAATTCCCTGCAGTCGAGACTCGGCGTGTAACGTTACCGTAATTGACCACGAACGCTGTCGGATGTTGCTCGCGTATCTAACGTACGGCGTAAGGTTTCACGCGAGACCCCGTACACACGTGGACACTACCGAGAGGAAGACAACATACGCGCGGCGGATGTCGCCGCTCACATGTGCGCGCCGCGCTCGCATGTACGCCCAATGTCTCGCGAGAAAACGTCCCGATAATGGCTAGTCGAGAGTACGCGTTTTCTCCGGCATTATCGAGGCAATCGACGTTTCTATCTCTACGGTCGGCGCCGTAAACGCGGTAGACGTCGGGCATTAAAGCCCGCTCGCGCAGGCCGCAGGTGCAGCCGTGGCTATGTACGCGGCGATGCATAATGCGCCATATACGCGCACCGCGCTGACGGAAATACCGCTGACATCTCGAGTGCCGGAGAGCTCCGGAGAGCCGAGAGAAATCTCACCGGCGTAATCGAGACGGATGTTCACCCGTGATAACATTTCAAATGGGAATAAAAATTTTCAAGCATGTTTTTCAGAAACTATAGTAGCGTTTAGTAAACTGTGCGATTAAAATATGGATATGAGAACAAGAGAAATTTATTTCTTAAAATAAGAGAAATAAATTCGCAATAAAGTTACAAAATTTACAGATGCATTCACGAATTTACAAAAAATATATATATATATATATATATATATATATATATATATATAAATCATAAGCTTTTATAGGAAAAAATTTATACATAAAAAAAATTTAGAAAATTTTCATTTCACTCAATGTTGGAGACCTAAACGAATTTAGCAATAAAAAAATGCTAGAGGAAGAAAAATGTAAAGCGTAAAGGTAACGTTCTCAAAAATGTGACATTCGTTAATCGCGATGCACGGATGTTCGAGGAACGTCGTTTGCCCGCGTCGTTTTCCTTGCGCGGTGCCTCATTACGAGACATATGAACGAGCATTACGTCGTCAGGACGAAAACGCGAGACGCTGTGTCGGAATGTCCCGCGGCTGCACGGCAGCCGGCGGGCGCCAGTATTCCCCAGTCATGTCGCATAAATACACGTGTCATGCCTCGCGAATATACGCGCACGACACGGGATGGTCAGAGCTCCTCCGGCTCGTGCGCTCGCCGCCGCCTCTCTTCGTCTCTCGTGTTACCTGTCCGTATAATGCACGGTCGGATCCGCGACCTCCGCAGTTTTGCGCGAGCATATTTCAAACGAGGGGACAGGTGACGCCTAAGTAATTTCTCGGGGAATATTATGTGCTAGAGGAGATTTCGTTCGAGTCCCCGCTGCACGGAGAGCGGGAGCTCGGATCGGGGCGCATCCGGGATTTAAATCCTCGCCCTTTGCAAATTTCATCCGAAACCCATCACATGCATACATGAATACCAAATCAATCTTTTATATTAAATTCTCTTAAAGCAACGATAGTTCGTACGAGCGTAATTGCATCGATATCACGTAATTAATTTACGTCGATACTTTTAAATAAGATCCATATATCATGTAGCACTAGGAACCAGGAACACTTATACAGAAATATCCAGATCCAGTAAAATATTTAAACATCCAAAGATGTCTCAAAGATGTAATATAGGCGTTGCATTAATCCAAATCCAGATCAAGCAAATGAGAACGAATGAACAACTTGTTTCAATGAATGCGAAAAGTGCCGCCGCGGGTATTCGCGGCGCCGTTCGTACGCATTGAAGCAAATCGTTCATTCGTGTTTGTTCGCGTTTGTTTGCTTGGTCTAGATCCGGCTTTATATTTAAAGACTCATACGAAAGCGCTCGCATGTAACTATCCTTCAACAAATCTTCTGCTTTGAGCCTTGCGCGTCTGTGACGTCTTGTTGAAAAGCGAAAGACACCCGCCTCGAGGTTCATCCCGCGCGTTTAAGCACAGCAGCGGCTGTGGCGGTACGGGCTATTTTCAGAGAAATGCACTGCCGGTTGACAACCGAGCAAAGATTCATTAAGGTTAAGAGACTTGCGAGTCTTGCGGCGCGGTAATGGACCCGTGGCGAGTTTTCTTCCTGGATTTATTGTCGCGGCTCGCGAACCGCGTTGCCCGCCGGCAAATGCATCGGCAGCGAGGACGCTGTGAATCATAGAAATGGACATTTATCTTGCGTCCGTATTTCCGCTACAGTTGCTCCCGTTTTCTGTTTCTGTAATATTAAGCAGGGTTCTCGGGCCGGCGTTCTTTATCAAAGAAATTTCCAGATGCTTAATCACCGCGAGAGCACCGTGTCCCAAAATTCTCGACGATCAAAAGAGAGGAGGAGGGTATCAGGGATGGGAAATGGCGGGCGTTCGGTGTAACTTTTCGTCCAAAGCACTCGCTTTTACGAGAGTACCGAAGAATACAGAGAGCGGGAGAGCGCGCAAAAAGAAAAGTTCAACGACGTGGATGCAGACGGTAAAAGCGACGCGTTATTCTCTCGCAGTTTTACGCCGAGCTTCACGCGTCATTGTTTGAAAATGAAGTGACGTACGCGCGGACTGAAGAAACACGGGCTATATCTCTCAGCTTCAATTGAGACAGACGTGAATACGAGCCGGGGCGGGACGAGCCCGGCGAGATAAAATGTGGCGATTGTTATGAAGCTGCTGTTTCTTCCTATTATGCAAATGATCATGCCGGGTCAGGAGCAAGATGTGAAATGTAACGCGAATGTAACAGAGCGACGCAAGTACGTGACGATGTAATGTGATCGATAAATCGAGCGCGAAACTTGTCTTGAAGTCTCATGCATAATGCTCGTGTTAATATACTTTTAAGCAACTCGTAAAATCTCGAACTTGATGATTGATAAATTCCATATTACGTTGTAATTTACAATGTATCATTTTATACAAACATTCAATTTCCTGAGCTAATTGCTAATATATCCATGTGATAATTAAAAAGTTACACTCCACTTGAAATTAACTAATTCAAAGTGCAAAGTATACAATTTATATTTTATTGTTAACAAATTCCTATGTTTGTACATAACTGCATGTAATCTCGCAACGTTCAAACACAATACAAAAAAAAAGGAGCAGTAAAATCTCACCGTAACCCGAACAAAGCGTGAGAAGCATAACATAGCTGCGATGCAAATGCATAAAGCCACCGAAAGCGTTATTATATTTTTGCCTGTGTGCATGTGCGCGCACGTTTATGCCGCCGTAGCGTGTGGGATTATTTTCCCGCTCGTTTGTACGTATTACGCTTATGCGACACATATTCCATGGCATTCCCGTGCCGCTTTTGTCGCTGGGAAATGGTACAATGCCGAATGAAATCGAGCGTATAAATGCGCAGTCGTATCTTCTCCCTTTTAATTTCCCCGTCCCCGCGTCCAATGTGCCCCTCACGCATATTTGAGCATACGTTACTCCCCCGCCCGCCACCCCCTCCTCCCTGCCGTTTCGCGTAAATTCATGTGCGCCGCAGTATCTTTGGTTAATGTAGTACTATTGATTAATGTACCTTTGTAGTATTATCGATGCTTTTAGCAAAAATGACAGAAATATCCGGAAAATTGAATGTCAATGATTTCGCTGCATTTATATTGATGAGAGCAGGGACCCGAATATCATTTCCCTCCTTTTATAAATGTTAAACGTAGTAAACTGTAACAGTTCCTTTTCTGGTCGGCGTACGGCTATTAATCGTTTAAATTTTTGAACCGACAATCAGCATAATGTTTGTGCATATTTGCGCGATTTTCTACTCTCGTTATCAATTCCATTCGTCCCACCGTGCTTTCATGTTTTATCTAATTTTTCTAAAATCTGAAAAAATATTCATGTATTTCGAGCGAAATATCGCGCGGGAGAGAAACGGCGGAAATGTCGATATACGAACAATGCGACGGACGCTATGTAACAGCCATGCTGCGAAAAAGCAAAGGGATTAATCATGTTCTTCGCAGATTTTTCTCACGGGTCAGCAAGTTCCTCGCGATGTGCGAAAGAGGATGTTGGGGTCGGCGAGTCGCAGCCGCATTCGACGGAGAAGTGCAAAGGTTAAGAGGGACGTTAAATGCAAAGTTGGCTATTGTGAGCGCGTGCGATAAAAGCGCGCGCGCGCGCACGTGCGCGCCGCGCGTATTTTCTCGGTACTTTTGTGTCAGACGTTGTTGTTTGAAAGTAGAACAACGCTCGGCCGAGGGACAGCGTGGCGAGAAATCCACCTAGGACGCCGTTTCCCGACGCGTTATCCCGACGTGGCGCGAATTAAAAATTACAATTCACGGACGCGGACGTCTCGCGAGGAAACTTTCAGCGATCGCAATTGGGCGTCGCGTTTCCTCCGCGAGCCCTGGCAATTCAATTATCCCCGCGCTATTATGCAAATAGGGCAGTTTATAAGTTAAAATGTGCTGAAATGATTTATATATCTGTAACTTTGAAACGAAAAAGCGTCTAAAAGTGCACATTTTTAGAAGAATCTTGCGAGAGTCTACAATCATTGTGACCCAGAGATAAAGTAATAAAAATAAAGTTGAATCAAGTTGCAACTTATTTAATGACATTTAGGATGATTTGCTTGAAAAATTTTTATTTCGAAATATATAAATCATTTACAGAAATTGTTTGTAATTTTTATAATAAAAAATATGGCTTTATGGCGTTAATAATACGCGTGGGAAAACATTGTGAATAATTTTTTATTTGTTCTTTTTTGCTACAAACGTTATATTAACTGTTAACCAAACGAAAACTATTCAATTGTCAATTTGGAAATACGTGTATTTGCATGCAACGCAAACACACACGAATTAATCGAAGACACATCCAGCCGTGCGCGTGCATGCGTGCGTGTCTTTTAGCACCGAGTAGAATGACCCACTGACCCGCCCCACTGATACGTGCGTGGAGACGCACACGCGTATGCAACGCGTACGTATGACGTGCAGCTAATTTTGATCAAGATTTATGCTAAGATTAATAGTAATGTTTGGCAGCTTGTTCCGAAGCGAAAGTGGACGGATGTGCCGAATTGATATGCCTCATTTCATTAATCACGGGAATTGTCTTCGTCTGTGCTTCAACTGAAATTCACCGCAATCAAATTTACAATAAGATTTAGATAAAATTTGTGACATTTTTGCCTTGTACTCATCGATTTTCGTACGTTTTTCGCCCCTTCTGTTCCTTTATTTCTTCATTTTACCGCAATGCGTCAAGAATGGATAAAGGCGGAAAAGGAGCGGTCACTGTCGCGCAGACGTAAAGAGCCCGGAAAAATAAAAGCATCTATGCCGCTTTTTAAGCGAAAGAAAGCGTGGGCGCGAGTATTTTCTAACAAATCTGTCCAAACCTATATTATTATTATTTTTTTTTTTAGAAAGAACAAAGTGGTCTCAACTGAGCTCGGACATGATAATGCGTGTAGCTTCAATTATGTAACTGCTTGTCGAGTTACTATCCACTGGTCACCGCACTGCAAAATCTAATTTTTTTCAGTCCAAAAAGTAAAAAAAATCGACTTCCACCGGGATGTAACGGCAGCGTCGCGACGTCGCGACGCGGAGTCGCGTTCCCCGACGACGTGCCAGCTCGGATCCTTTTTCCCGCAGCTTCCATATCCGCAATACGACGCGATCGAAGTACCCGCAGAGCGGTTTTTGCAGTTCAAATGCGATCCAGCAGATAAGATTTGTCGTGCAACAGAAGCATAGTGAATCCGAATCCGAAAGGAAGATGCAACGCTCACAGCATATATATTGTAATTATAAACAATTAATGAAAATGCAGTATATTGTATATTGTTACCATGTTCATTAAAAATTGCTTCATAGATTTTATTTGTCAAATAAAGATTGGTTTTCTGATCATATTAATAAACTAGCCAGCTCATCGACAACTATAATATGTTGCTTATTACGCTTTCAATACACTTTATCAAAATATCACATGTTGGAGTGTACTGCGACACGCTTTTTTCTGCATTAACATTTGATTGAAACAGAGTGGTAAATTTTTTATCGACGGTTGAATTCGCACGAATGAACTTTTCACGGGATCGTACAAAAATAACGACAATGCAACGAGAGAGAGACTCCTACAATAGTAAACACGCGAACGTACCCGTCTCTCTTCTCGAGTCCTCATTCGTTTGAAAATGGAAAATATTCCACAGGACACGTAGTGGTTACGTCATGTTTAGGACAGGAGGGCGGTCGAAACTTACCGCCGGTTTTATTCTCGAAGGAGGACGGTACGCTCTGGCAGGACGAGCAGCACAAAAGCCCCGCCAGCAGTAGCCACCTGGATAGCTCGGTCAATCTCTTCGGCATCATCTGAAACGGCGAGAAGCGAATTGAATTAATCACCGGATAATCACATCACGCGGCTTTCTGCCCTGCTCGACGGCCACTTTGAATCAGACACAGCGATCTAATTGTAAGTATCGATCATCGTTTACGCTTTGCTCTAATATTGACGGAGATTATCCCGTAAAAAAAAAATAAACTGCAAAAGTTCTGCGATTTTTATAAACTTATTTTACACTTTTTTATCAATTTTTACTTCTGACAAATTTATAGAATATAGAAGTTCGAAGTCTATTATTATACGTATTACGGCGGTTTAATTAATTTTGATACTATCGATTTAACGAACAGAGCGTAGAAGTCGATTTGAGGGAGGGATGGGGCGTTTCTTGCCGCGGAACACTTTTATTTCGAGAAACGAATAAATCTTACATACTTGGCATTAAAAAGCGCATGACACTATTGTTCGATGAGCTTTTTGCTTATTCACGCGAAACAAAAATTAAACACGATCGGTACGTGCGCTCGTGTTCATGAACGTGAGGTATCATGTTCCCCATCGTTTAAAAGCTGCAACGTGGCTGCGCGATTGCAGAAATGTGATTAATTCGTCTAATTGGGTATCCAGAGTGCAGTTGGCCGACGCGATCAATGGCCAGGATGATGCGTTCGACATTAATTACAACCGTGTAAATACGCGCACGCGAAATAATATCTGCTCGACAGTACGGAATAAAACCCGCGATATTGTCCTACGGCCAGGCATGATAATAATGAGATAAAATATTAGTTTCTACGGTGATCGCAAATAATCCGTTTTGCTGTTTAACGTTACATGCGCAAAGTGTAACGACCGAAATTAACATTTAAGTCAGCCAAGTATGTATGATTATTGTTTCTAATAATAATAAATGTATGAGAATTTTCTATATGCGTTTTAATTACCTTCTTATTTGTAATCCTTATACGTAATATGTATAATCCTTATAAATGTGAAGGCACTCAAATATCTTACGTATTTTTACGTCGCATCTTTCAAGCATTTTGGACATCATCGTAAATCGTCTACTGAGGCCGTGTGCCAAAAAGCACCATCGACGCTGCCAAGTTCTTATATCCCCTTCATAACTTCTCTTCCATTGTCAATGTGCCGTGGGTGATTACATACGAAAATGCATCATATGAAATGTTTTACGCGCAGCGTTCATCAACATCTAATAATATTTCAATTTGATCAATAAAAAATAATTGCTATAAATTCAAACATTTATTCAATGCATACGAAAGCCTCCGAAGAAAAATTCATTGGACGACACAGACGTGAGCATTTTGCCGGATGGATTGAATAATTTGTATGATCCAGCCGATACGTAAGAGCGCCGTGAATACGCGAGTAACTATGGTCGGGTACAGTTTACGGTACTTTAACGAAACGTAAAACCAGGCAGAGGTGTTGTAGTAGCTCGACGTGACTACATTTTCCGACAAACCGGGCGCACTTCGCCCATTCGCGAAATATACGTGCGAGGACCAATGTGTCCTTTTACGACACCGTGGAGAAGCGATCTCGATGTCTTGTAAAATGAGTCGTAAAGACCGTTGTTAACTGCTCTCCCCGAAGACCCTCGTTCCGCCACCCGCGGGAGGTTGCCGGGAGTAATTTCCGACGGGTCGTGACCTGCCCCAATCGACCGGCGGAATCGTCAAAATTGCATTCCCACGACTACGAAAACGCGAATGCGTTAGGTACAGAATCCCCGCCGAATCCGCCGCGTTTCCCGAATCGGTGAACGTCCCCTGAGAGAGAGAGGGAGAACTTCGGCCGATAACGAAGTTAAGTTGCGAATGAAATCTGATTAAGGAGACACGATTGCTTGACAGCCTCGGAAATTCAGTATCGATTTTTATGTAATATATATTGCAGCTGCATATTTTATAGGTATATATACATGGAAAGAACAATTTTGCTGAATCCAGATCTGAAAATAATTTTTGTTTAATAATCAAAATAATTTTATGCGAAAGTCAAAATGATTGCTAGAATATCAAAACATTTTATAGCAATGTTTATCAGTTTTAATATTCCAACAAATTATTTTGATGATTCGACAAAAAATTATTTTCAAATCTATATTTAGCAAAATTTTTAGACCTTTCCACAAAATCGTTCTTTCCGTGTACAAATTCTCCGAAAGCCCAGCGGATTACACAACATCAAATTCGGGCTCTTAATCGCTAGTTTTCAATTTTTTCTGGTTTAAATTGGAGTCATTCATTAAATACAGCGTTAAACAAATGAAATAAATCGTGTATTATCTTTACGCATCCTAAAAAAGTGACGCCTCGAACGAGTAACCGTATGTTTGTGCAAGATCGAGGACAACTCCCAGGGGCTAGACGCCTCGGCATTCATCGATCGACGGGAATTCGATCGTACCTGTTAACGACCACGTCGAGAAAGTCTTTGAAGCGGGGCCAGACGCGAATGGCCGCGCGGCGCGGCGGCTGGGTCACTGTCACTAACTGCGAAAATTATACATTCGCGTTACACACGGAGAGGACTTCGCGGCTTCAATTGGCAGAGGAAGAGAAAGATGGATAAGAGATCGTTTATCTAAATTTCTCAGACTTTACGGTACAAAGGAGAGACACACGGGTATTGCTTGTACATGACATGGCAGCTTCGTATAAGTATAAAGCGACAGTTTAGATATTCTTCGCGTGAACTTTACACGGGACGAGACGGTGGCGTCCTCCACGCGTGTAGCAACTTGACAGCCGTTCGAAGGTTCGCATACTAATGGTTTAATAAGTGGCTATCTATAGCTCGGAGACATCGAAGACCTGTCGTAATCTAGGAGTAATGCACTCGCACCGGGGAAAGTAGGATATCCTGTGTGAAACACAGCGTCCTGTAATCTTTGACAAGACTGATCCGACCGCACTGTGCCAAGTGGAGTATGACTCCACTTGACTGTAATGCTTATTAGTAAAGCTAATTTTATGCGCGGAATATTTGTCTGGATATATTTAAGAGCCTATACTCGAGACGATATAAACGAATTTTTTGCCTTGAATTACGTGATGGCAAAACAATTTTTTTTCCGTCTCTATACGCCCATCAATCGACTCGTTAAATCGATATTGCTGAATTTGATGCACTTGGATTGGCTAAAATTCTCGAGCGTGCGAACGTTATCGGCGAACTCGCATCGCTCGGCGCGATCGATGATGATACTTTCACCCATGTCAGGTGCGAATGAATCGACTCGCTCTCGAGGCTCATCAGCGAATCATTTTCGCCGATCTCATTGACGCACGCGTTCTCTCAAGTAGTATCATCTAATGGTTGTTGAAAAAAAACGCCAAAAATTATATATAAGGATAATTGGAACATATTATGCTCTACATAGGGAAAACTACGTGATAGAAATTTTATAAAAACGAGACACTCTCTTGAAATAACATATACCTCATTTCGCAAGATATATTCAAGATATATACATTTTACTGAATTTATGTGATGTTTAAAGATAATGATCTATGAGTAAGAATTATGCAATATCGAAATTTCGACAGGATTCCTGAAAGTTTGCTGCTCCGAGTAGGGCTAAAACACGTCACTACATACACGAAGGCGCAAGAAACTGGACCACGACAAAGGGCTATGTGCTCCTTTGCAGGGCGGAAGCTTGCTGAAAGTTGCTTTCATCGTATTTGCACGTGGAATCGCGGCATAACGAGACACACGTGCTAACGGTAGACGCTGCTCCGGGCGCCGATCTCCTCTCTTGAACGAGATTCCCAGAAAGAAAGAGCGAGATGAAGGGAGAGAGGGAAGATGGAAAAGAGAGAGGCGAAACACTCGGGCGAATGGGCAAAGGGGACCGCTTTGTGCGAAGCCGCCTTTAGAATCGGCGACATCCGACCTTGAAGATCGAATCAGGATCACGATAGCCTCGATGATATTAGACTTTCCCGATCGCGTCGACAAAACGCAAAGAAATTCCGTGAACTTAGAAGTGAAATTAGAATTTAAAGATAGACAAAAATCTCGATAATACCAGCTTTATGATAATTTTATCTGAACATATTGACTGGAGAGATCATGAAGAAAGATATATACGCTTAAAGAAGGAAAAAGTTACGAAATAGAAATTTTTTGGCGAAAGATCGGAGAACAATTCTGATATATCTTCTTATGGTAGTAATAAGATACTATGTAGCGGCAACTTTAAAGTTATGATTTAATGTTAGCTTTTTCCTAGGTGTATCCAAGATTATACAAAATACTGATTCTGTTCTGTAATTATTTTACGTGCCCCTAATCATGAAATTCTGTTTCTTATTCAAAAGAACCTGAAAATTTTTCTATCTCATGTAACAAATAGTTTGTTCATCGTAATTTCCTATAAATAAATCTAGATAAAACATTGATTAATACATCTAGAATTCTGTTAATTTTTTATAGCGAACAGTGTGCGTTACAATATTATATATTTATGATATATATATTATAAATATTTATACAATCAAATAGGCGCAACAGTAATTACATGCGTGTATTTACGCAAATATGCAATAACATGGAGACATGAGCACATCTGACAATTCGCCCGCAGCTCTAAACGATCATTAATTAATAATTATCGCGCAATGTATGCTCATATTTTTCTGTCCATCGTAGACCATAGTACGAGAAGAGAAAGTCAAAGGACGTTTTCGAGATACGAGTTTCTTAGGGACTATACAATTAATGCTAATTAATTAAGTCGTTATTTCGCGGCTATCTATGATAAGACGTATAAATAAACTAGAAAATAAAACTACCGTTGAGAAACGGTTGCGCGTGTAGCGTAATTATCGAAAAACGATGTCCGGCTTTGATCGCGTGCTGCACTTCGATACGTCTATTAAACGGAATTTAATTTACTTGTCTGCCCTGAAACATTTTATCTGACACAATTCTCCGGCTGCCACCGCGAAATTAAAGGGATCGACAATTGTTTAATTAAATCGGCTCGGCT